TTGATCCAGGTACGAGGAGGAGAGGAGGAGGAGGAGAACAAAAGGATAAAAGAGGAGACAAGGGCAGAGGGAGTAGAAGGGGAGAAGGATTTCAGGATGAGAGGAAGATGTGAAGGAGGAGGAGGGAGGGAGGGAGGGAGGGAGGGAGGGAGGGAGGGAGGGAGGCAAGTTGAGCGTGGAGGACGTAGAGGGAGGAAGAAGATGGTTTCTATGAGATCTCACAAGCTTCTCAGGCGACTTTCAGAGGTTTTCATGCTCGCATGTGGTTCTCTCAACTACAGAAGTAAGGCTGCTACCCTCTCCTCCATGTTCCCTTCTCCCTCCGCTTCTTCCAGCCTGCCTTACTCCCGTCTCCTCTAGTCCACTCCCGTCCTTCCTCCTCCTTCTCCTCGTCTTTCTCCATCACCTCTTCCATGTCTCCTCCTCCTCCTCCTCCATGTCTCATCACCGTCCTTCTCCACTCACGGGTCATCTTCACTCACTTGTCATCTTCTCGCTAATCTTTCTTTCTTTCTTCTTTTCTCAGCTTCATGGAGGTCCATCTAGGCACAAGCATCTTCAAAGAGAAACTTCTATCTTGGAAATCTCGCGCTGTCCAGCTCCGACCCCACCTGTCCTCCAAGAGCGGGACAGGACAGGACGAGCAGCTACAGCCCAGCGACATCTATGACAGGGCAGGGAGGAGAGGAGGGGAGAGGAAGGAGGAGGAAGAGGAGGAGGAGGAAGCTGAAGGGTATGCAATGCTGGACACCAAGGTTGTGATGTCCCTTCAGACTCGCAACCTGCGACTTGCAGGTACATGAAAGAATCGCATCCTTCTCCTCCTCTTCCCTGCTCCTGCTCCTTCCTGTTCTTCTCTCACTCTCTCCCGCCTCTTCCTCTCTGCTCATCGCCTCATCCTGCTGCAGGTCTCCGACCGGCCACGGCTCCTCACTCGAAGAGAGACTTCGTGCAGGAGGAGAAGCAGAACATTGCTGCGACGATCCGGTGGGAGGGCGGGCGAGGAGGAGGAGGAGGAGGAGAGTGTTAGAGGAAGGGGAGCACATGGTGATGGTGATGATGGTGATGATGGAGATGATGATGATGATGGAGATGATGGAGATGATGATGATGATGATGATGATGATGATGGAGATGATGATGATGATGATGATGACTGCACAAGTGGGGAGGGAGAAGGATGATGATGGCTTCCATTTACTTCACCCCGCAGGTATCAACGCGAAATCTTACAGAGAGAGAGTTCAGATGCCGAAGCTGCTCGACTTGAGAGCAAGCAGAGGCGGATCCGATCTGGTGAATAGACCCCCTTCTTCCTATCCTCCTTCTCCTCCTCCTCCTCTATCCTCCATCTCCTTCTCCTCCTCCTCCTCTGCCTCTTCCTCGTCGTGTTTCCTTCCTCACGCACCCTGACCTCCTCGTCCAGCTCGAGACAGGAGTCGCATCTCCCAGACTTTGCGGGCGCAGCCGGTGGAGCTTAACGTGAATCTCCTGCAGAAAATGTGGGGGAACGACTTGCAGCTCCGCCTCAGCTGACCTCCTGCTGGATCGTCAGGCACAAGTGGGAGATACCCAACAAGATCTTCCTCAACGAAAGGAAGAATGCTCCCTCCTCCGCGGTATCTCCTCTTCCTCCTCCTCCTCTCTCTCTCTCTCTCTCTCTCTCTCTCTCTCTCTCTCTCTCTCTCTCTCTCTCTCTCTCTCTCTCTCTCTCTC